CTCCTTCCACTTTTTACATCCCACAGTGCCCACTTTCCTTTGTGGTTTCTTCCAAGCAAGGCCATGCCTTCATGTGCAAACAGTATGGGATATGACGGTTCTCCAGGAGATCCAGAAATGGCTTGAGGTATAGGTGCATTTGAACCGATATGGTATATGTTGTATCCACGCCTGGAACTCGATGTTGCAATGAAGTGCTCATTAGGCGAGAGGGATGCATAATCACTGGATGCTAACGTCAATAACCAAATGCGTAGTTCGATGAAAAGTTACATTGCCCCAGGAAAACTCATCACCCAATTATAGTGCCCTTCCATGATATTCCAGCAGCTACGAATATGTTAGTGAAGCCGATGATCAGTAATGTTGTAATGAAGAGATAAAGCAGTATGCACACTATCCCGTGGTGTCGGTATGAAACAATGACTGTAGTTGAACCGGTATTGTAGAGCCAATGCAGCGATGTGACAATGACTTCTTGTCCCCTTGGAAATCCGTCCTCTGGTGGATTGGAAGAGTACTTCCAAGTTCCCATCTGTCTTTGGAATCAAAACAAAGCTGTGAGCTATATAGCAAGCTGCTGAACATTGATATTGAAACTGACTGGCAGGTTTGTCTCTTATCCAAATTCTGACTTCTGTCTTACTGCCGGTAGCAAGGTACAGGTCATGTTTATGGGCTGTCATCAGAGTGACTGAAGACTTGTGAGCCAGCACTCCTTCTCCTTCCAGTTGCTTCGAACCAGTGTGTATTGATAATAATGAAATTTAATTGGTATAATATTGTACGCACCTGCAAGTCATCATTAGCTGTTAGGGATATGAGAAATCCATCTTCGAAGCCACAATGCAGCGCATTGTCTTGCCCAGTCCAAGAAAGTGCATGACATGGTGCATTTCCCTGGCAGAAGTGCAGTGCAACACCAGTTGTAGAGTTCCAGATAATCACACGCTTGTCCGTACTAGTGCTTGCCAAAAGACGACCAGATGAATTCAACATGAGACACTTGATGTCGCCCTTGTGGGTAACAGTAAAACTTTTGCGATACTTGAGAACCATATGGCCGGAGTGTATGTGATCAACTGATTTTGGAAATCAGGAGACAAAGGGCATCCGAGTCTGAATTTTGTCCGAGTCGCATCATGCAATTAATATTAAGACACAACTTTTTCGACTCAAATGTACATGAGTATAACCTTACGTCAAGTGACCATAAAGCCTATCCCTGTCTCTAGCTTTGATAAGTATTTTGTGTTGCGACTCCATTGGGGCCTTCAGAAAATAGCTAGCAATGAAGGTTTGGTGGCTCGAGCTAATGACCACAGAAAACAAAAGAGGTCGATAAATATATGCCAGGACAAGAATGCACATGCAGATCGCAGCTGTCGCCATGCACCAGGGAGTATTAAATGTTGATGTGCTTTGATGGTGCCAGTACCTAATGTATTCTTTGTCTGAATCCTGGCAGACGAAGTGTCCAGGTATAAGTCGCATTTCGTCTTTGTCATGAGAAACATGTGCAGATGGTGCTGCAAGCCAAGCTGATGTGTAAGTTTCGGGAACTCCAACCTGTGATAGTGAAATTAACATCCAGTAATCAGTTTGAGTTGTTTCCGCTTACTGGAGTGTCTTGACCAAGCACTTCATAATCAGGCTGAGGGTCGATGATGCATCCAGAGTCCTGCTTAATCTGTGAATCCGGGTGCAAAATGTGCGAGTCAGACATTGAAGCAGAAACATCCATAAATCGAGTCAAGATTTCAGGGATATCGTCATTGCTGGAACCAGATTGTATGTCTCACAATTCATCCAGCAAGGAGCGCTCAGGGCACATGTTGTGAAGTGTCCGATCTTCATCCTAGCCATCCAACCCTCGATTAGTGCGATGACTGGCTTCCATCTGCACCTACCATGACAAGATAGAGAGTCAATGGCTCCTCAATAACTGTTAGGCTCGAGTCATCATATAGTGATGACGTGTCCTGATACTGTCTCCATGTCAAAGAGAGGGCCAACTGAGCTCATTCATCAGCTTGAGGATGCCTTTCAAATGTATGTCTCTGTCTCACCTTCTTGTTTTGAAGTTTGCGAAGAGGCGGTGGCCATTGTGTGATCCACCGATCGCGAAGCCTCCAGAGTGACCAATCGATGTTCCATGTTTGCCTGCTTTGTATCGACTTCAACAAGGTGGCTCACAAGTTCGTCTAGGCGGTCACAGGTGAAATTACACAGCACACATCGACTCGATTCGCTTACCTATGCCGTCTTGCATTCTATCACCATGTACATGTCGTTTGGAGTTCCTGATAGAATTTTTCAAGCCCTCTATCTCACTGTCGAAGTGCGTTTCTACAAATGACAGGTGAGTACTAGTGGAGTCCTGATTTTGCATGAGCCACCATAATTCAAGAATTCAAGATAGATGACTATGTTACCTCATCTCGACGGACCTGTTCCAATGCCCTCTCCACCTGATCGACATGACTGTCTACAGTTTCTATCAGCTGTTTTGTTTTCGTAACATCCTCGGTCAGATCATCGATGGACGAAAATATAGCATTTGAAAGAGGAATAGGCATGGAAGGTGCGGTTGAAATATGTGCCAATGCTATGGGCAAATAATATAACAGTGACCTTAAGTTTGCTACAGCAGGACTGCCTTATTACTTCAAACACCCTTTATTTACGATTGCCCATTGTGTATCTCACCCTTGAGGATACTTTAAAGTTGCCCTTAGTTTACGGCTATTTCATGATTTACGTTTTGCAAAGGTGGCGGGTGTGTGGCTCAGCAACACCATGGAGCCACTGATATGTACTGCAGCATTTCCTTATTGTGACAGTAAGCACAATGTTCATATCCAAGGCTTGCTGACTGAATTGTCTGAGGGTTTTGATGCAAAGTCGTAAGTCTTTAGGGATAACACAGAAACGGAGTCGCAGATAAGTTTAAAAGGTTGGAAGGCGATCTTCGCCGGTGCTATGGAGCCGCGGTTGTCGACGTACCCCAGAGGCAGTGGCTTTGACGGAGCGTCCCTTGAAGCGATAACGTGCTGGTAGAATTGACCGACTGAGATATGAAGAGAGCTGGGGACTTATAGATGCTCGCTATCATCTTGAAAATGTTACCCCACCCGACGAGTATTAGTATGAACTAACTGAATGGGACCGACAAACTTACCTTGCTGAACAGTTTGTGGCGGTTCATAAGTACACTTCCAATTAATTCCCAGGTGAAGGTCTTATGTAGGTAGCCGAACTTGAAGGAATTCGGTGTCTCTGAATTTGCAAGGAGACAAAGACATATAGCTTCGGAGTGTCGTCGCTCTCCTTGTTGACCATGTTTTCAAATATAAACATGACCAGTTGGCGCAGGGTGGCTGCACTGCTTCAAATCAGGGTTAAGAGCTTCGAGGTTACAGTTCAAGAAGCCCTCAGCGGAGTAGAATAGGTAAGGGGACATAGGTAATACTGAAATGAAAAACACTTGCATTTGCGTGCTGCAGAAATAATACATGTGTATATTGGCTTCGGTCACATCAAGTGCAAAAATGTGGGACGCAAATCAGTCCAACTCCAACACCATCCCGCGTTGTACACTTCCCCAACCTGATGCAAAGTCAGCGAATGAGTATGCTGAGTTCACAGAAACACTTGCCTACAAGCTGCCAATGCTTCTCAATACGTCTCGAAAGTGCGACCTTCTCTGCAACCTCCGTACATGCGGGCGAAGTCAACTGGATCTTCGCGAGATCCCCTTTTACACCCAACACCCGTCCACCAGTCGACATCGACCCGATGTTAATCAATAGAAGCTCGTTCTTGGCAAGTTTCGAGACTTTTGTTTGTTTCTTGTCTTCTGTACGAACTCCCAGCCAACGGTGGAGAAGAAACAAACTGGTTTCAAGCTCTAGATTCTCTTTAGAACACGACGGCATATCAAAAACGAGGATGCTCACCGGTGTAGACCTTTGGCAGCTTCCCAACCACTCCCAGCACTTGACCAACGAGACAATCCGCTCTACACAATCCAGGATCGATCTTGGTCCCGACACCGATCAGCCCTCCTGGGACTGCAAACTGCAAGTGATTGTTCTCCGCATGCAGAGAAACGATCCTGCTGAAAATCGGCTTGCAGTGGTTCTGGCCCTGTGTGTCCTTCGTCACAATTCCCGGACAAATCTTGACTTCTTGTCCCAGCCGTAGGATGCCTGTGAGGATAGAACCACTGGCAACGCCGCCTTTGAGTTCATCAACCTCGGCACCAGGCTTGTTGACGTCAAAGGAACGGATGATGATGAGACAGGGATCAGAAGTAAAGTCCCAGACTGGGATAGGTGTGCGCTTTACGATGTATTCGTTCACAGCGTCGATGTTGTATTTCAATTGCGCAGATATAGGAATGATAGGTGACGACTCGGCCACCGTACCTGTTAAGAGAATTAGTACAATATTGAATGGTCCATGCTACCAGGGACGCACCCTTGACGAATGCAGTGATTGATTTTTGGTGCTCAAGATCCTGGGCTTCCCTGATCAAATCGACCTTGTTCTGCAAAATAATGATATTTTCCAGCTTCATGATCTCAACTGCGGCCAAGTGCTCCGATGTCTGCGGCTGAGGACGTGTTTTGTTTCCTGCAATCAGAAGAAGAGTGGCGTCCATGACTGCGGCACCGTTGAGCATGGTAGCCAATCAGAATGTCGTGACCGGGACAGTCCATGAAGGAAATATAGTGAATGAGGACCACATCCTGGCCGTTCGCAGGGAGAATTGTCTTACTTGTCTGAGCAATACGATCAATAGCAGCCTGGTGAGGACATGCTTCGTTCTCGCATTTGTGGATCTATGATGGTAGTTCTCAAGATCAAAGATGGAACAGACTCAGATGCGAATCAGAAGGAATGTACTTTTTCATTTGCATAACCCAGCTTGATCGTGATGTTACGAACCAGCTCCTTTTTGAATCGTACAGTCAGGCCTTCACCACCGTCGATTTTCTGTGTGCGACATGACCAATTAATAGCTAGATCATATATACTCGCAGAAGTCTGCGCACTCAAGTTAATTGTAGCCTAGAAGGATCGTGGTCAATGAATTGCTTCAGATAAAGGAAAGTTGGTTGCGCACCAGTTTTGATATTACTTCAGGTGAAAGTGGCATCAGCTTCGTGATATCGGGGTCAGGAAGGAGAGTGCAGAACTCCTCCTTCGCAAGTTTGATCTTGTAGAACATTGCATCCTCCAAAGCATCCGCTTGGACACCCAAGAATTCGGCAACAATGCCAAGGACATCTGTGTTACGCGTGACAGCAGCATTAACATCACGACCACGGTCAACGGTGAACTCAAGGTTGCCAAGGTGGAGAATAGCAGCAAGAAGTTGGCAAGTCTGAATGATGTGTCGCTTGGACAAGAACGTATGCGGAGGACACTGGAGAGCACCAGAAGAGTGGAAGGAGGGATGAGACAGGAAAGATGCAGGGTAGGATGCAGTGTAGGGCGCGAGTGGTGGTAGTAGGGCACAAGTGATGGTAGTAGCACACTGTAAAGTAGTAAATGAGAAAACAAACATGCGCACCTGGAAAAAGCAGTGAATGGCTGAGCTAGGACATTGTATATTGAACTGGGACATTGGACATCACACTCAGACATTGACCTGAGACATTGGATATTGGATTTGGACATTGGACATTGCACTCGGACATTGACCTGGGATATTAGATATTGAAATTGGACATTGGACTCAGACATTGGAAATTGTACTTTGACATCAATCTTGGATATTGGACATTGGATTTGGACATTGGACATTGAATTTGGACATTAGATTGTGATGTGGAACATTGAACTAGGACACTGGACATTGAGCTTAGACATTGAAAATTGAATTTGGACATTAAAAATTGCACTTGGACATTAGATGGTGATGTGGAACATTGAAATAGGACATTGAACGTTGCACTCGGACATTGGATTTGAACGTTAGACATTGCACTCAGATATTGGACATTGAACTAGGACATTGAACATGGACATTGAACTTTGGATTTGGACATTAGACATTGAATTTGGACATTAGATTTTGAAGTGGTACATTGAACTAGCACATTAAACATTGAACATTGGATTTGGACATTAGACATTGGACTTGGACATTGGACTTGAACATTGGACATTGGACATTGGACATTGAAGTCGGACATTGAACATTGCACTAGGACATGGCACATTGCACTTGACATGGCACATTGGATTTGGACATTGGACATGGACATTGGACATTGAACTCAGAAATTGGACATTGCACTTGGACATTGATATGGGACACTGGACATTGAACATTGCACTCAGACATTGAACAATGGATTTGGACTTTGGACATTGCACTTGAACATTGATGTGGTACACTGAACATTGAACTTGGACATTGGACATTGAACTCAGACATTGAACATTGCACTCGGACATTGGACATTGAACTTGGACATTGGACATTGGACTTGGACATTGATGTGGGACACTGGACATTGAACTCGAACATTGAACATTGCACTCAGATAGTGATGGGAGACATTGGACATTGAACTTGGACATTGAACATTGCACTCAGACATTGACATGGGACACTGGACATTGAACTCGGACATTGAAAATTGCACTCGGACATTGAATTTGGACATTGGACATTGGAATATCGGACATTGGACTTGGACATTGGACATTGGAATATCGAACATTGGACTTGGTCATTGGACCTTGCACTTGGACATTAATGTGGGACACTAGACATTGAACATTGCACTTGGACATTGATGTGAGACACTGGATATTGAACTTGGACATTGAACATTGAACCCTGACATTGAACATTGGATTTGGACATTGAACTCAGACATTGGACATTGGATTCAGACATTGGAGATTGCACTTGGACATTGAACTTTGCACTCAGACATTTGACATGGGACACTGGATATTGATTTTGGACATTGAGCATCGCAAATTGATCCAAGACATTGGATATTGGATTCTGACATTGGACATCGCACTTGGACATTGATGTGGGACATTGGACATTGAACTCAGACATTGAACATTGAACTTGGACATTGGACATTGGATTTGGACATTGAAAATTGATCTCAGACATAAAACATTGAACTTGGACATTGGACGTTGGACTTGGACATTGATGTGGGACACTGGACATTGAACTTGAACATTGAACATTGCACTCAGACATTGATGGGAGACATTGGACATTGAACTCGGACATTGAACATTGAATCAGGACATTGGACATTGAATTTGGACATTGAACTTGTGCATTGGACATTGAACATTGGACTTGGAGATTGACGTGGGACACTGGACATTGAACTCGAACATTGAACATTGCACTCAGACATTGGACATTAAACTTGGACATTAACACGGGACATTCATCAGGGAATTGACCGCACAAAAATAATGTTTTATATTGCATTGTCTAGTCTAAATTTAGTGAAATATGTATCATTATGATAGATCAGTAGACAAAGTTTTATATACCCGGAGTTACTTCGATGACAGGTGCCACACCTATCTTTCTTATATGGGAGGGAGATCTCATGAAGTCTCTCAGCTTGTTGACTGTATGTCATCTTTATCACTCGCAAATTGAATGATGAAAACTGCCAAACTGTCAATCACACCAATTGTTGGCAAGACTTGGTCACCGATGACAAGGTGTAATAAACATGCTAAGTTTGATGATCAGCTTGCATCTTGGTCTCAATTGATAATTGCTGGCAAGGCTTGGTTCTGAATTCTCAACCTGTCAAACATGCCACAAGGTTTCAAGGTGACCTTGCACTGCAAGGTAAGTTTCGTATGGTGCTACTTCCAATGTCTTCCTCATGGATGTAGGTTTGCAGCACTCTCATCATATTGCAGAGCTCACCATGACTGCCAAAGAGTCCATTACTGGCAAGGTAAGTTTTATATGGTGCTACTTCTAATGTCTCCCTCATAGCTGTAGTTTTACAGCGCCTTCTCACAGCATTGTAGGGTAGCCAGTTGTTATTAGATGGCAACATCTTGTTGGCAAAAGATCTCAGTGTTACAATATAAGCATAATAATAATATTTAGCCAATGTGTATATTACAAAATTTCACCATCAAATGGCCAGAAATGCACTACGAAGTACTATCATTTGAATCTTTGAGAGCTGCACGCTTTTGGCAAATCTTGGAGAGAGCACTATTAGCTTTGAGAGTTCGCTTAGCTGCGGTTGAAGTAGGAAATATCTGACTAAACCAATCTATAAGACCATACACACTTGTCAGAAAATTATCACCTTACCGATTCCACCATACCAGGAAATCTGTGACTTCACCTCTTTCATCTGGATCTTCAAAAAGGTCAAGAATAGAGTGATAGAAAGTCTCTGAATCAGTTACTGTATCTGTGCAAGAAAATACCGATGATGAACTGAGTGCGAATTGAACCTGTATCAATCATCAGCTGCAAAAAGGCGATAATCAAGAGTGTTTTAATGACCTGCATTGCGATATATGCGACAGAAGGAGCAGTGACAGAAGTCATACCATGAAGGCGAGAATTGCCAGCACGTGTAGCCTTGGGCTCTCTTTCCACTGAGCTTGGTGATGTAAATACATGCCTGTATGCCTTGTAGGAGTATATACATCAAGCAGTCACGCAATTCACAAAGACACCGAGCGAACTCACATTGATAAGAAGGCCATTCCAAGGATCATCTGGATCATAGGCCTCATTGGTGTACAAAAAACGAGGCCATTGGTCTCCGCTGACAGCAATTTCACCGCTTTGCAACTTTTGTTTGATCCTGGTGAACATTCAAGTGTGTCAGTGATTGATGTGCGAATAAAAATAAAGCAGCCTACTCTGTGTCATTCCAGTCCAATTCAGCAGGACAGAGTAATCAGCCAGTGAGTGGGTGGTTGAAGCCATGACTGATCTTGGAATTCCTTGGCAAAGGAGGCAGAACTACTTCTCCCACAGGTACTATCCAATCGATCACCACAGGCTTCAATGACTTTGTATCTTCACCTCGAGCAGCAGATGCCCCCTTACCGATCTGGTAGCTAAGTATTAAGGGTATTTAATGGAAATGAGTGACTCACTAGTTCTCCGACATGAAGGACTTCTTCCTCTGAGCCTTCTCGCAGTCGCTCTAGAAGCCCAGGGTATGAGTCCAAGAGCTTTTCAAATACAAAATGCTCTCGCCGCTCTCTAATAATTATGTTAGATTGTTGTGAATAGAAATTAACACGGTATTGACTCAGCAGGAAAATCTTCAATGGACGCTTCCTCCAGTTGTTCCAGTTGTAATATACCGTTAGTTAGAAGGGAAGGGTAGTTGCAGAGAGCAAAAACTGTGCGGCCAAAATGTCTCCCATGCAAAAGTAAGGGATCAGATTTCAATCTAAAATGCAGGGTCAGGCCAGGGAATTTCAAGCAATTTAAAACTCATGCTCTCTTACGAGGTCCAAGCTGAAGAGCTGATGAACCTCTCTTCCGAGATTCATTCGAAGATACATTATCATCTTCCATATCGTCGACTCACAAGTATACCAACTCAAACCACACGGACTCATTTACTTATACATGACAAGCAGAGGCACAGCCTCACCCTAATAACAAGATATCCTGTTGGCGCTATCTAAGTATGTCAGCACGCCAATGGGCATGCCATTCATATGCTGTAATCTGGCCACAGAGCCTTAAGTTGATGTTACACATCTGATGGCCCGAACAAATAAAGATGGGATGCGAAGGCCGAGTCTGTCGAGAGGTCAGCAGTTTTTTGCAGAGTATAAAGCATACATTTGTGTTGAACTGGAAATCGTCTTGTAGGTTTTCTCGCAATGCAACAATCATTAGCATTAAAAGGCTGCTGTGGAACATTGAACTTGTGGTGAGTTCATCTGAGTCGATATCTTTTTCAAATGCACTTAACACTCTCTTTCGAAGGGTCGAGATCAATATGAATACGGACAATTCCCAGAGAGGTGAGGGATCAGAGGTATCTACGTGCATCATGTCTGTCCAAAGTCCTTCGAAGCACACTTTACATTGACCAGTCTCCAAGCACGTCTGGAGATAGTAGAGAAGAACTGCAGTCATTATTTTGATTTATACAAAAAATACAGATTGAGATGGCTAGAGGAGAGCTACCGAGCAGAGATTCTCGAGAAGTATGCACCACCTAATGTAGACAGCTACAATCCAGCCCAGATGCGATGGGATGCGCTGTAGGGATTCATTTCTGGCTGGGCTTGCAGAGACTGTTTTTACCTTAGTGTTATGTTTGCACTTTTGTAGCTTACATAATCAAGTTACCTTTTCACCAGTTCTACTATGAGTCTGAGTATTCAGCAAGTTTCTATCATATTTCCTCTTCTCTGAGCCTTGAGCCTGGTCCAGAAACCCATTAGGGTCGAATAGCAGCTAGGTTCTGCAAGACCCAACATTGTTCAGACTCACCATCTGAATTGTTGTACCTTCAGCGCCATCTCCACCGTATGTTCTAGGTATGATTTCAGAATAGTACAACATAATGGATCTGATGCAAAGCTCAACAGATGGAGGGGAAGAGATGCCATAGTGATTAACGAGACAAAGTATGAGCGTTCGACCTAGTACTACTACTACTTGTGCTGTAGCAATGACAAATGACTTGAAGGTGACAAGTGTGACATATCACATAATCATATGTGACAAAAACTTAGTGATTGCCTATTATACTTCTCTATAATACATTTCATAATTCTGCATATGTAATAGATACCCAGATGTAAGTATTAGACATATTGCCCCTGATCAATGATATAACGATCAAAGTAGATGGGTTCTGATGTGTTCAGTGCAAATGGAACAATGGGAATGATGCCAGAGAGAATCATTGTAGGGACCTTGCAATATCAATAGATGCTCAGTTGATGGCATGTGATAGAGTCAGGCTGAATTTTTTTGGGCAAGGGTATGTAACCAATGTACTGTAGACCCTTAACTAAACTCATTGGGTAGTCTAATACCACCCCCGCTCCCGCTGTCACTCCTGCCATCACTCCCACCATCACTTCCACTGTTACTCCAGTCATCACCCCTGCTGTCACCCACGCTGTTCCTCCCACTCCCACTACTGGTGCTAGCATTGGCGCTAGACAGAAATCAAAGGTGCTGTTGAGAAGGGCGACTCATGGACTGATGGGTGCTATGAGAGCGGTTGTGCATACAGCTTTGCACGCAGTAACGAAGATCATAGCAGCATTTAGATGGGTACGTTACCCTTGTTTAAAAGTCTCCTTGAATTTGATTAGATATATATAGGCATGAATGATTCTGTTAGATGATTGCACCAGTTTGAGTTTACACGGACTTACTTTCTCGATATCTTGTCTCATCTCACATTGCCATCTTCCATGTCAATTCTACTACACACCATCATATACAGTAGCATGTCATGAAGTGGCACCACATACCTATCCCCTACATAGTAACACTGGCTGTAGTGTGAATCGCTAAAGAAAGAAACGTCAAGGATCGTGAAAAAGATGTTCGAGATGAAATGAGCGCAAGACGTAGAATGTTGCGACATCCAACTGTCTAGTACTGCTGCATGGTCCTTGTCTTGTAGTACTCCCCCTGCCCATACTCATACCCATGCTGTACCTGCTCACCCTCCTGGGGAAGAATCATTAGGGGATGCAAACAGGTTGCTGAAGAGACTCTCTTCCTCCTGCCAAAGCATCATTGGCGGATGCAGGGAATTAAAAAAATTAGCACGCGGTGGGTGAACAGAAAAAAAGGTCTACCAGGAAGAAAATTTAAGTGATAACACGGGCAAGAGACTTGAAGTACAAATACTAAGATAAGATCTTATAGCGAAAAAATAATAATTACAGATTCATGTCAAAGCGTCAATTGAATGTCTTGCGTTAGATTTGCATTGAAGCAATAAGAGTCGTATTACACTGAGTACTGTTAGAGCTTCAAGTGCTGTATAGAGACTCGCATCAAAGTGTTGCACTACATAGTTGCATAACCAACATGAACGGCCTAAATGATGGCTGTGATTGAAAACGCATTCAAAAAATGAGGGTATCCTAGTACTCACTCAATCAGTGAAAGTGATTGTTGACGGCCCATCCATTATGCCCTTCCTTCCACTTATCAAAGCCTTTGTCAGTATGCAAGACAAAAGATGCCCTCTTGCCCTCATAGTGTAGGTTAAAATGAGTGGTGTCATTGGAGGGAAAGATGATGAAGTCGCCACATCGTAGCTCTAACACCAACCCCTGCTCAAACTGCACTAAAGCCCCACCCTTGAACTCGCCGATGGGCAAGACAAGGCACATGTCCTTATCAAACCTATCATGGTGACCCTCGGTGGTGACATTGAGGTTAATGACCAGAGATAGAAATGGAGCCACTGGTGAGCATTCTCCACCTGGGAGGTTTTGACTGAGTTTGACAATGACTTCATACTCTTCTGGTAAGTACGTCTTCATCTGAAATTCAAGTCATTGTCAAGGTAAACACATCCCATCAAGAGTGCTCACCACATGCTCCAACCATTCAAAAAGTTCACTGAATGCAGCCTGAACATTGTTATAGACTTCTTGATGCTCTAAAACGTCTTTCGAAGCATAGGGCAAACACTGAGTATGATTGGTGCGGCTAACATCAACTCTAGCCATCTCATGTGGGTGAATATGTGTGGGTGCACCAGCTCCCTATCAAATATATCATTCTCATACCATACTTTCAAAGATAGAGGTAAAGGGGCTCACCATAGTTGAGTATTGATTCCAAAGAGAAAAGTGTAGACACTGGAAGGGATGGCTAAGGGTTTGCTCCGCCAGCCTCTCTGAGACTTCTGGCACATCACGAGAATCTTGATCGTCAAAGTAGTCTTGCTTGTGACGCATTTGCAAGACTTCCTTTCCATCGAAGCATGCGAGCAAGCTGCTGGTGAGGCTACGACGAATGGCTTCAGGTAGTGATGAACAGACAAAGGCCATGAGGCTGCCATCGGAATTGCGTAGATTAAGTCCACCACTAAAATGACGAGTTGCTATTTTTTTATTCTGCGAAGGAAGCTCCACTCACCCTTGCAGAATACTCATTGGTATGCGCAAGTACCTGTTATCAGTTCTGCAGCCATTGATATACAGTTTATCCAACTTGACTTGCATGTCAGAAAGTGCCATTGCAAAAGTTCCAGCGCACTCACCTTGGTATGCAAGTCATCGATGTCCTGGACAACTTCTCCTGCCTCTGCTTTCACCCGCTCGCCTTCAGTCCACATGACGTTCTCCAGCCTGTTGTTCTTTGCAGGGAAATGAACATTGGATGGGTGTTTCCGGTCATATGAGGTTTTAATGACAGTGACGTCAATAGCAGTTATCGCACCACGACTGCATTCATTTGTCAAATGAAGTATAGAAGGTAAGTGGCTGGATATGCCCTTCCTATCAATGACAAGCCGCTGTTCAGTCACAGCTAGGGTGCAAATGGCCCAAGTTCCTGTTTCCCTAGCAGGAAGAGAAAAATGACTGGAAAGGGCAAGGTAAGCATTATGCATTACAATCGCCTAGGTATTATAGAACCCACTGTTGTTTGAATCCGTCAAACACCTTATCAGTGAGTGACAGATCTGTACAGTCTAGTACATCGCCAACCCCAATGCTTATTAGAAACGACGAGCAAAATATGTTTTGCAGACAGATAGGCATGTGATGTCTGATCCAAGCAATGGTAGGAATGATATTATTGGCGATTAACTGCGGCATCTCTTGTGAAGATGTGATTAGTGTGTGAATGGAGTGCCAGAAGGCAACTCACGACTGGACTCAGGTTTGCCTGTAAGTTTAAACAATTGCAATTAGTGCATAAAGAAAGCGCACAAAAAGATAACCCACCATTGGTGGTCCCTGGCTGCCTCAGCATCTTAGCCACTTGGCAAAGGACTGGTAATGAAGCTGTTGGACCTAATAGATGTGGCTTGTTTCTGCCACTTTGGAGGTGCGTGAAGGCGTTGCCCATTACAAGGGCAGTCCGCCCGAAATAATACCACTTTTGGATTGATGGCAGCTCCAATGGGGGCATAAGGATGTCGATGGAGTTGTCGAATTTTCCTAGATGTTACTCGTCGTTGGTTGCCATCAAGCATATCTTGTTTAGCATGGAGGGTATCATCTGTATGGTTGTCATCAGCATAGTTGTTGTCTGAATAACAACCCGTCTCATCATCACAGATCAAATCATCAACGGGTTCAGAATATTGGGAATCGCTCATCTCCTCATCGAAGCTGAGGCTCTTGTGAAAGATGCTGCCTGGGGAGGACATTGTATTGTTGTGGTTGGCGGTATAATATGGGACCTTGTAATAGGCAGGGTAGGAGTAGGATGGACAGTCTTCATCTTCAGAGGATGAGCCGACTTCACTGTCAGAAGAAGAGTGGACTAGGCAGTCACCCCGGCTGAGTTGATTAACAAGGTCATTCAATACGGAGCACATGGGCAATGGGCAATATCTTACCTGTCTCCAATTAAAGGTGATCCAGAAGAGATTAAGAATGGTGGTAGAGACAGCAAATACCGCACTCTATTAAGCAAAGGCAGCATCTCAATGTTTTTGTCTACCCGCCCTACTAGAGCATGCTCAATGAACATAAGTTCAGCCACTGTCACATCCAGATTGAGCTTGTCTGTCGACAATGAAAATTGCCCTTGTGATACACCATTTAGAAAAGCTGCACATGTTGGCTGGGTCATTGAGAGTGGTGAAATCTAAGAACTAAATTGCGATTGAGTTGAATTAACCTAGACTCGGAGCATTGTGGAGTAGGGTTAGGGTTAGTGTTAGTCCATATATGGTGACCCTGTCTTGCATCTACACCTCCACTTCTCAACATTTATGATTATGATAATGACATTGTCGCTAAGTTGCTGGGTCAAGATGGTGAGAAAGATCATTTGTCATGCTCAAGCTGCTCCTGTAAAATAGAATACATGTACTATAAAATTTGAAAGTGTGCGAAAGGTGACTCAAAGGTAAAAAAAGGTCCAGCAAAATCCGGATCAAGTTGCGAGACCTGCTTAGACATCATCAACATGGATGTAGGGTACCACCCCTGCCCAAAAACTGCACCATGCCAAAGGAACTAAGATGCCTGATACCAAAATGAGGCAGCAAGCGCATGTAATAAGGGCAACTGTGGAATGTTTAGTGTCTATGAAGACGCTTGCAAGGAATCCAATGCTGGACCATATGACACTTTAGTAGGTCTTATGAGTAATTACGAGTAAAAATGAATATATTTGCTTGCCTCATAATACCAAAAAATCTTGGTGCACTGAACACACCAAGGACGACTGCCATTCCCTGATCCAGGTAATATGCCTGGTCAGTTGGTAATGTCAGACTTTAGCTGCAGAAACCAGAATAAAACACACCACAAATCTCAGGGATTTCATTTTCTCTCCGAAGTGTTGTGCAAACATGCCTGAAAATATGCAGCCAACACAGAAGATAATGGATCCCTTTAAGATAGACTCGGCAACCATCCCTGTACCTACACCTTGAACAGCAAGGAAACTGGCATCAACCGCCATGATAACTCCCACCTGTCAGGACACATTTATGCAATGAGTTCTCATTCCCAATCCTGAGATATCCACTCACCAGGGTAATTTGTGCTGTGTTCTGGGAGCTGAAATCATCGATAAAGGCCTTGATGTCCAGAGAATTGACTATGCCATCAACATAGATTTGGTTGAGGCGTTTACGGACTAATATGGGAAGGAAAAACATAGTGATTGACGCTATGAAGGGAAAGGGACCTCTCTTCCTAGGACTATGGCCTGTTGAATGGTTTCGAAGAAGGCGTGCTTCAGGTTGTCCGTAGTAGTTTAGGTATTGATGATGGCCTAAATCATTTGTCTAATTAGCAACTATCTGGTGAGATAAAGGTATACATATGTAGCATGTGATATAATCTACCTATTGCACATGATATGAGTATTTGATTTGTCTGAATTTACAAACTTTTACTCACCAAACAATGCGACACCTGGCTCCGTTATGATTCCATCAGAACTTGAAATATCATCTACCCTTTCATCATAAACATGTGTGCAAGGAAAAACAATAGTATTCACCAAGACTGGCCAGTCTATTGATAATTTTCTCCATCACGTCCTTGTTCGAGAATATAGTAGCCGATGTCGAATTGTCCAATGTCAATGCATCTGTCTGCCGCTTGGGTCATTCTATTCAGTATTATAACACAATAAAACCTGCCTGTGTGAAACCAATTAAGTTCAGCACATAGCTTTCTTACATGGCCATGATCCAGATTATAGTTTTGGGGGAAAAATTCTATGTGCTTCCTGTGTAGTTTTGTCAACCATTGCAGAAATCAACATTCCTTATGCCGACATCTAGAAAAACTCACCAGAACTGTGCCTCCAGTTCAAGTCCTGCAAAATGATATGGGTCTAAGGGTAATGAAAAGACAAAGGGGTAACATACTTTTGTGGTTCCATTGCCAGACAAAATGGCATTCTCGGAAGAGAAGAGTGCCATCCAAAGCTTCTAGCCAGCCAATTACCTCTGCTTCCAGTGCTACCAGGTAATATAGATAGACGTCTCCATCCACATTCATAGTTTGCATTGGCTCGGCAACGATGGTGTGCCCTCCAACCACTCTGCCTCGCATAGCTTTTATCCAAGCCTCGAAGTTCTCCAGCCGAACTGTTGGACAGTCCCTTATATTCAGTCCAGGTGTATGTATTCTATCTCACCATAAAGTGAGTGTGTTATCCACACGTAATGACTAGTGCTCACCCTTGTCTCATTGTAATAATAAATCGCCCCTGATGGGTGGATGAACCTTTCCCATTCCCCAAACACCTCCTGTCTGTTTACATCATAATAAGTTTAAACTGTCAAAGAAGGTGACTAACTGAGGAGAATGGAATTGCATTTCTTGCACCGTGAAGTCGGGGCCCATTGGTGGCGTCCTGTATGCAGTAGATTGAGCTGAAATCCCATGACATTAGATGCCCATACTGATGTGCTCACCTTATTGTCTTTTGGGAATACTGCCCCAGCTGTGTTGGCCAGGCAGGAGTACTACAGGTCAATGATATTGTGCTGCCAGTTGTCAGCTAGTTGCAATCTGGTGCATAATTCATTTCAACGTACCAACATTGAAATTATTTGATTCGTTGGAAAACAGAACAAAGACAGATTGGAATATGGATAGGTCTTAATAGTACATAAAGGTACTGAGATCTCTAGCTCTAGAGATAGTGTGGGCCTGTGACTAGAGCCACCGCCGGAATAACTCAATTGCTGACCTAATTGTAGCGGTGCACCAACTTCAATTTCCGCCAGCAACAAGAAAAATGCTCAATATGATCATCATTAATTCAAGTTGTAGAAGCAATGATAAGATACTGCACTGGTATATAATGATACATGATAAGATCAGTATCTACATTGGCTACAACATAGCATTTCTTGGTGGTGGCATATGAACGACGAAAATCATGTGGGAAAACTACTAGCCCATCTTATTCTATAACAATGGATCAGCATGCCACGATCAGCATGTGGGGAGTTGCAACATCTATACAATTTATTAGTATAGCAGAACAACTAAGATGCAATGGTGCACATAAGCTAACATTTAGCATCACATCCCTGTCACACCACACCTCCTTCAACCAAGATGAGATAGGAAGTGTCGGAAGGTAAATTCTCACAGTAAAAGTTGAGAATTGCAATGTGACTGGGTGCGACACCCGTAATATTTGGTGAGTGGGGATGCTGACAACAAGACAACAAGACAACGTACCCAAAGCTCTGCTAACCCAACCAATCCACCTGGGATTTCCTGGAATCATGGGAAATCGTGTGAATCGAAAGGCAACAAAGATCAAATTGTGATGTGTCTGTGATGTGTTTAAATGTCACATATGGAATGACATCAACAAGAATCAACAAACTCACAGTGCGATGAGGATTTGTTTCTCATTACATGCATGTTGGTTCTCCTAGTGCCCTAGGCAGTCTGGAATCTGGATGTATTTATATAAAACCAGGTTAATTTTTCATATTCAAATCAGAAAAGCACATACCAGACTCATCATGGAATGAGCTCAGTACTTGCTCGCTGTTGTCAGGCGCCTGACAACAATGAGCTCAACTCGGAATTTGCCAGCGTATTCCCACTGGCCAACTTCAATTTTTTGGCATATGGACCATGGTGCGCCATCACTCTCACACGGTGTGACATTGGATGTTGATCTGGAAAAATCACTTGATAAGGCTCCCACTGGTTGTGTTAAAGGCTTCCATCATCACGAAGGCAAGCCATCTCTCAGGTTCTTTAAACTTTGCTTTACCAATCCCCATTCATTGGAGGAGGAAAGGGCATTTGTAGAGTTGGATGCATTTAAGAATACACTCCACGCCACTCCACGCCACTGCAGGAGAAATTCCAGGTACAGCGATCTAGTAATTCGACTTAAGCATCCCCTAACCTGCCTTCCCCAGGATCGCCCATCTTCAAATCATGAAGCTGGTCAAGTGTGACACTTAGAGGTTCAGTTGCTCACCGATCAGTATGGCAATGCCATCTTTTCATTTGGATGTGATTGTTCCATTCAACATCACCACCAGACGACTATTGAGGAAGTCCTGGCCATCATTGCTAAGGAGGATGCCTTTGAGCAGATGAAATGTGCAGCAGTACAGTTGGCGAGGCTAGTCGGATATGTCAGCGCAGGAACAGTTGAATGTATGTATGCACATCGTTCTTATGGGCTCTCTCAAATTCGCTAATTTATTCCCTCCAGATCTTTACAGTCACGCAGATTCCTTGAGCCGAACCTTTATTTGTAAGTCGAGTATCTGATGTCTAAAATGGTTTCTGGTGTCAATTTACCTGCTGCCCGACTACAGGTAGCCATGGGTATCCCTCTCCACAGGATTTGTCATATCCACATTCTTTATAGTGTAAGCTCCTAATGCTTCATCCAAGATCGATCTTGACATGGTGAAGCCTAAGTTGAATTAGCTTCAGTGCAAACCACTTCCCAAGGGTCATGTTATTGCAGTTCGTATCACTGCCGAGAACCCTGACACTGGATTCAAACCTTCATCTGGATCTTTGCAAGGGCTCGACCTCTGTTCCAGTAAGAATGTGTGGGATTACTTCTCCGACGGCACTGCAGGTGGTTACACACGAAGGCACAGAGCAAGCCAAAACTAATGTAGGCTGTGCTTGAATGTGTCCAAGACAAGTGGTTTGCCTGTTTCGAATGCAGAAAGTTGACTTTACCAGGTGCTCAACGACCTTGCAGCTCTTGAATCCAAGTATGATCCTGTATCTTCTCTCGTTGTAATCACTTACCAAGGATCTTCAGGTCATCCACCCCCGTTTCTCTCAAGGCTCGCGAGGTTCTCATTCTCAGTCAAATGCCATCGTACGAAGAGTGTCTCATTCAAATGGAGGCTATTTTGAAGCATTGGTCTCTTCAAGTGTTTATAGCGAATATGGCACTGCTAACAGGTAAAACAATCAATTTAATGCAACTGTTTCTAAAACCTATTCAGGGCTCCATCTGCTGAAATTTTACGAGTTGAGCGATTCGTGTTATACCATCTACGACGTCCTTCCTGCATTCTTCTCACACTCCGACCCGATTGTCACCATGGGTGCGTTGTTAACCTACACAGTAATTTTGATCGGGATCATCCATCAGCTGCCTTCAAGGTTTATATCTGATGTGCTCACTGCACTTACTCACTTCTATCTATTGATTACAAGGAGGTTGACCGGTGATGTTTCAGATGATGGTGAATTGCCGAGCACTGCCACTTGAAGGTTCAACCTTGGTCAATCTCATTCGCCACCATTGACTCCAAGCGTCATTGCACCGTGAGTTTATCATACAGTGGCTTCTTCATTTGACTCACTC